GCTCGAAAAGTCTCACGTCCAGAAAGTTAAACCTCCTCAGAGGCATGTGGGGGTGCTGAAGAAGCCCATCTGGTGGGGAAGGATTTGGGTGCTGAAGTGGCCCACGTCACCTCAATTAAGGCTGGAAGCCAGCTGGTCACCTTGGTCAATGGGCCTCGAGGCAGGTGGAGTAGCAGCCATGTCTCTGTTGCGTGACTCCTGCTCCTCAGTGACTCTCTGTCCATCTTACTTGATGTACGCAGCTAGGAATACGAGTCACCACTTCCGTAGGCAGCCGGAACTGAAAAAGCAAGCGCACATTGGGACAGGTCCTGCTTCCCAGGTGGGCGCTGATGCCTGTGCTCTTCCCTCAAGGGGCTGTCGAGAGACTACAGGCAGCTCTGAGGCAGAGACACCAGGCCTGCTGCCCTGCTCGTCACAGCCCTCAGCAGGCTGGGCTCTTGAGCCCCTGCCTACTCCCCACCCTGAGCTGCCACCACCACCTGCCCTAGCCCAGGAGACTCAGGCAGTAAGGCCCAGTGTCCCAGTGGAAGGACGGCGCCAGGCGGAGCTTATGAACACATTAGAGAAGTAGACAAATGAACGCCCGCTTCATGTAACTTATTGGAGTTAGACTCACTGTATTGGTCTGTGTGTTGCCTTCTCGGTCACATTATAATGGACATCTTCAAGTTTTTTCTTTTAACTGAAAATATTTCTTCGTTTTGTGTGGTATAACACAAAATTGGCATTTTAAAATAAACACTTTATACTAAACTCAAAGTCTAAAAACAGCTATCTTAATTCCCCCTTCTACTCCCACATGCTGGTGTGAAGGCCGGCCTTACCTCTGTAGTTAATGGGTCCGCCTTGAGTCTGCCTTGTGAAGCTGTAGACCACATGCTCCAGGGACTCAGAAACGCTACATCATGAGGGGTGGTCATGTCTCTAGGGGAGCCTGACAGAACAGTGGGAAGCTAGTGCCACTTGTGTTTCCTCATTTGTCTTGCATTCATTTTTGTGTGTATCTTTCACTTAAGAATACTTCAGGGTGGAGTGTAGCTCAGTGGGAGAGCACTTGCCTGGCGACATGCAAGGCCTTGGCTTGACCCCAGCCACACACACCACACACGCGCACATACTCTAAGTGCTTACTGTTGCATTTCAGAGGTTAAGAATCACTGGCTGGAAACGTTGAGAGGTAATGTGTACATTTCTGAAGTTGAAGGCGTTTTCAGCCTATTGCTAGTAGTCGGCAGAGCTGCAGCCTTTCTGCCCCTCCAGATCTAGATGAGTCAAGTGCAAACTCTCAACTCACATCCCGCACAGCTTCCTCCAAATCCCCATACCAGTGTCATCTCACTGCACATCCCCCCTTGTTTGTGTGTCATTTCACGGCGCCCGGGGCCTAGCTGGGGACTGGATGTCCACTTTGGGCTTTTGATACCTCTTCTCTATCTTAAAGGGTTTTCCCTGTGGTGTCAGGTGGGAAGAGCCCATTGGAGGCCCGAGGGTGGAGCTCTGTGCTCCCAGCATTGGTTGCAGCAAACAGCTGGGTCCACTGGCTACAGCAATCTAAAACCAGCTAGAACAGGTGTCCCTACCTCTGCATTCCTGGTGTGTTGCTAGGGCTTCTGTGCCCTCTGGTCACTGAGTCCCCACGTCCACACCTTTTCTGCTTGGGTTCCTGTGCAAACCCTGGAATCTGAAAGCTGTGTAGTCTCACGTATTAAGACAGGCACTGGACATGGATCCCACACTGAATAGGAATGGACTTTGCAAACCAAGACACTGAATGCAAAGTCTTATTGTGAAATCCTAGAACTTTAAGATCATTTAAAAGTTGCCCCAAAGGTAATTTTATACAATATTTTTGGATTTGCCTGTGGAATTTTCCATTTACTGTGTCATGTCTGTGCTCAGAAAGTTTTGGATTGTGGAGCATTTTAAATTCCAAAATTTTGGATTAGGGATGCTCAACTTGCACTTGACTGTGGGGTCCCTGGGAACCTTGTAGTTGGCAGAAATTCCCTGCCAGGTTCTCTCTGGCCCTGGCAGTTTTTTCCTATAAGCAGCTCTGTAATAAAATTGCCCATCTAGAATAGCTACACAGAGCTGTAAAACCTGAACCTGAGCAAACCAAATCTCAGGGGACCAGCCTAGGCCTCTGGATCATTTAATGCCTGGCCATGTTCCCACCTCCCTGGGGTCTGGATGCCCAGGGCCTCCCACCCCATTTGTGTGTCCTTCCTCGTCTATCTGAAGGATTCTGAGCCTGTTTTTTCCTTCCCTCTGTATCCAGATCATAATTCCTCCTCTTACTTTGACCTGATTTACCTTCCTTTCCCCCAAATCAATGCATCCTGAATCCCTGGGGTATCATCTCACACGCAGTGTAGTATGAGTCGATCTGAAAATTTTTCTTCTTGTAGTGAGTTCAAATTTATTAAAACAAATAATACAGCTGGTCTTAGCAGTGTCTTATTTATATATTGTATTTGCTCTATTTCTTACATTAAATTTCTGTGTATCTGTTCTGTTTTCTTTGCTCTTTTAAATCTGTTGTATGTATTACTTTTGGCATTGGGATGGTCGTGTTTGTGTTCTCATCTCCTTCTGGTACCTTGGCTTCCACTGTTTTCTTAGCTCTCCTCCTCATGAGCCCTTCCCCTCCCCCTCCCTCCCTCTCATCTTTCAAGCTGGGCTATGTCCATATTGCCAGGATGTACGCTGTGATGGCAGATGATTTCTTATTTGTGCTTTCGTTTCCGCATTGGGTCTACACACCAACACGCTCAGCACTGCCACCCTTCCGTCCCCTGGCTGAGACTTCTGGGTCATCTCGTGGCATAGGACTCCGTCGGGTAATCTAGTCCATTATGCAGGAAGGGCTGTGAGTAGAGTCCCAGGACCCTGCCTGTCTGCAGGGGCTCTGCTCCTCCTCTCATGGCTTCTCTCCTGCACCCACTCCTTCCCTCCTTGCCACCTTCCAGTAATTGATTTGGACTCATCCTTCCAGTTCCTCCTCCTTGGTGGTCCAAGGCCCTCCCTGGACTTTCCCTTCTGCCTCTCCCTCTCCTCAGTCTCCATTGAAGCTCCTGTTCTGGGGGTCTCCTGCTGGACCCTTCCCGAGGGCATGCAGGGGTTAGGGCTTGGCTGGCTGACATCCCCTTAAAGATGGGCAGTGGTTCATTCGGCTGGTTTGGATTCCCAGCTGCAGGCCGCCATGGTCCATGCTCACCCTGCATCCTCTTCCGTCTGTCCTGCCTGTCTGAGGGAAGCCCCATGATGCCTCTACAGCTGCCTGGAGCCTGGGAAGAGGCAGCTGCGTCATGGGAGGGGGAGGGGGAGGGGGAGGGGAGGCAGGGGTGGGCGGGAGCTACAAGAAAAGAGAAAGAGCCATCAGAGCCCAGTGGAGGCAAATTCCTGTGCATCACACATGGGATTGCATGGAGGATGGAGCCACCCGCACTTCTCTGACTGACGGGACCCAAGGGGGATTCTGCTATTTGTTTTTGGAATTTTGAGATTCCTGATAAATACATGTGGTTGTTTTTGATCCAATAAAACAAAAACAAAAACACAAAAAAACCTGTGGATGAATTCAAACTTGGATGCACAATTAAAAAATACTATCAATAAATATAAGAGAAAGTCCTGGAGACTGAAGTGGAGTAAATTATATTCCATGTATGTATGATTATGGTAAAACAAACCCCAATATTATAACTATAATGTACTAATAGAAACAAAAAACTTACACCAACTGTGGCTTACAGCACCCTGCTCTCCTCTCTCCCCTTTCTGTGTCCCCAGGCTCAGAACAGGCCCATTCCTGCCCCGTGTGTGGCATAAGGTTGTCCCAGTATAGCCTTCTGCCCCGCAGAATTTCTTGTACATTTGACTAGTGGCCTCCCCAACCTAAGCAAAGCCAAAGGGTAAAGGAAATCTAAACCAGAGGAAGCACACTGAGCATAAGTGGACAGGGGATGGTTTTCTGCCAACACATCTTCTGGTATGTCCCTCACAGCCACACGTGGGCACTGTCTTCCTTTTGTTCCCAGGAATGAGATATATATATATATATATATATATATATATATATATATATATACACATATATACATACACGTGTATGTATATATCTTATATATTATATAATTATATAATATTATGTAATATAAGTATTATATATAATAATAATAATTATTATTTTTTCAGAGACCAGAGAGCTCTCTGGTAACTCCTTCTGCCCCTGAGAAGAGACGCCAAGTGCATCCTCAAGGATCAAGCTCAGGGCATTTGCTTCCTGTGGGAGCAAAATGCAAAACACAGGAGCAATGTGGGGATTCATCTTCTTTCCTCCCAAGAGCCACTGTGGTAAGAGTCTCTTCCCCAGAAAGAATGACCTCAGTGTTTTTCATGTATTTATGTTTAAAAATTTCAACTCAGATCAAAATTCTGCAAAGATTGTTACCCAGAAAAAAGCATTTCCAAGAGGGTTCCTTTAAAAAAAATATTCAATTTAAGACTTTTTTTTTTAAGTACTGGGGACTGAACCTTGGGGTGCTCTACCATTGAGCTACATCCCTGTCCTTTTTCCTTTTTATATTTTATTTTGAGACAGAATCTTGCAAATCTGCTGATGCTGGTCTCAAACCTGCCATCCTCCTGCCTCAGCCTCTAGAGCAGCTGGGATTACAGGTGTGCACTTGCCTGCAAACTGAGACTCTGTGTTGCACATTACATAACCCTGGAATCACAGAACTTTGATATAAACCTTTTCTTTACCACAGGTGTTCTCAGAGCCCTCACTATCCTCACATGTGGGAAGAAATTCAGGGACAGGTTACAGCAAAGTCTCCGCTCCTGCCAGCCCAGCCTCGGAAGTGGCCTCAGGGACACGGCAGGGGGTGGGGGACTGGCCCCCCTGCAGGGGCCCCAGCTAGGACCCACTCTCACCTGGACCATCTGCAGCCCCTGCTCCACATCCCTGCCTGTTGTTCCCAGGCCCTGGGAACCTAGGGGGCGCACTGGCGCACCCTGCTCCAGACCCAGTGGTGTGGATTCTGGGCCTGGATCTGAAAGGGAAAAACGCAGAGGTGAGCCCGGAGGACGGCCGCCCACACATCTCCAGGTTGCCTCCTGTCTCCCAGCCTCCCCGATTTTCAATCCCCACAGACCTCCTCACACAGCTCTGGGGTGACCCAGGCTTGGTGCCCCATGGCGTGGAAGAATTCCACCTTGAGCTTCAGGAACTCCTTGTAGAAGTCGGGCCAGTGCTCCTTGCCCAGCAGGAACTGGAAGATGCTGCGCTTGGGGGTAGGGTTGTCCTCCTCCATGTCAGAGGCGATGTAGCTGCCATGGGAAAATGGGAAGCTTGCCTGTTCGTAACCACAACTCCCTGCCTCAGAAGGACAGGCAGGAGAGGTCACAATGGAGCTGACCAGGAGACAACCACCTATCCAGGAGATAGGGTCTGGAGAGGCCTTCTCTGCAGGGTGACCTGGATCTGCTGGGCCCAGGGCACCCTTGACTCCAAGCCTGGGGCCTGTGCTGTGCTCAGTTGAGGACCCTGTTCTAGCTGCCCCTTGTTTCTCAGGGGCTTCCTCCCTCAGTCTCTGGGCAGCTGGTGGTGCTTTCGGGCTATTTTCACCGTCTCAGGGCCTCTTCCCTTCTCCCATGACCACCTGGCTCCTGGAGGTCTCAACCACTTTGTGGTCAAGAACAGCCCCAACTGGGCACGTGGCATGACTGAGCCTTGCTGATGGGGCGACAGGAGACATGCCATTCGGGAACTTGGGCAGATGGAGCACTGCCCTGAGGAGTTGCTTACAGAGCCAGGAAGAAGTGGACCCTGTTGTAGAGGTGTCCAGGAAGCCCAACACGGCCGAAGTACTCCACCACCATGGACAGCAGGTACTGTAGGGGACATGGGGAAGTGGCCTGAGTGGGCTCTGCCTCCCCATCCGAAGGCCAAGACACCCGGGAGAGCCTGGCTGGGGAGCTCATGTGGAAATGAGCCGAGGGGCAGGGCAGAATGGCAGTGTGCCCCTTCTTTTTTCTGGCCTTGAGAGCAGGCCCCTGCAGACCTTCTCCTGACATGACTCAAGACGCCTCCCTGGCAGCCCCCTGGGGGTGGGACCCTGGGGACCCTCTCCCCCTCACTTGGGATCTGCAGGTACCTTGTCAGACACTTTGAGGAAAATGTCGGCCTCCAGGAAGCTCTGGATAACAGGATCCTCTGCAGAGGGAAGCAGACAGCAGCCATCTGGAGATGAGTGTACATAGGGGAACCCCTGTGTGGGGGCCTTCAGAGGAGCTCTCCAAGTGAGCAGCTCCAGGAGGACAGCAGCCGCCCTGCCCCAGGAAGGGCTGGCCTCAGAATGCGTGTCCCTCCCCTGGCCCACTGGAGGCAGCAGGGGCGTGAATGTGGGACTATTGCTGAACCCTCAGTGGGGGCATGAGGGCAGAAGAGATTTGACCTGGTTCTCAAAGCTTAACAGTACCTCCACCTGAAAGCTTGGACATGTCTCCGACTCTGTGACACCTCGCCCTGATACTTTGTCACGTGTGACGGTGCTGTGCTGCCCTGCCCCGAGCACTGTAAGATAGAGGCTGCAGCCCCTGCCTGCTGGGCCTCCTTCCCTGCAGCAGTGAGCTGCCCCCTCCCTGGGCTCCTGTGGCTAGAGCTTTCCCCTGAGAGCACCAGGCCCTGTGTACCCTTCCCCTGGCCCAGGACAGGGACACTTGCACAGGGGTGCCTTCTCCCATCCCCTGCCCTCGGAAGAGCCCTGTGCCCAGAGCCCTGTGATGGTGAGGATGCCCACACCTGTGAAGTCCAGTGGCTTGCGAGGCTGAAGAGCTGAATTTGGAAAGCTTAACTCATGTGGCTAGTGGATGCTGCGTGGGACAGTGTGACCTTGGTGTTGTCCCCAAGCCGCCACACTGGGTCTGCTTCTGGGCCCGATGTCATCTTCTCAAGTGGCCCTTCTTGAGCCTCCTGCTTCCTGACAGTCCCCTACTCCCTTCCACCTGCATTTCTTAACATCTTCCTCATGGCTACTGCCGAGATCCCTGCTTCTGCGGGTGGTGTTTGTTTTCTGTGTCCTCCACTCTGTCCTGACTGGTGCAGTTGAGCCGTCCCAGCAAGGGACGGCTCTCCAACCTGCAGCCCCTTCTCCTGCCCCCCAGGACTGTGGCTCAGGAAGAAGCGCCCTCACAGCTCCACAGGACCAGGCGCTCTGCGTCAGTGCCACCTGTACTCCAGGAGGGAGGCCAGCCCCAGTTCTCTACAACTCTTAGTTTCAAAGGACCCTGAGCACGTCACCAGCTGAGAACCCACCCAGAAGTCGGTAGAAGGCTTCCTGGTCCTCAGGGCGGTAACTGGGCCTTCTCCTCTTGTTCATCCTCAGTTTTGTCCCCTGAATGTGGTCGACAGTCCATATGTTCTTCTGTTCCCTCCTCCTCCAGAGCTTCAGCTGGGAAATGGCTTCTGAGAAGGCTGCTGTGGAGGCGGCAGAGCTGCCCTCCTGGGTGGCTGGGGAACACAGGCCCTGGGTGAGCAGGGCTGCGGCCCCCGGAGCTCCTGCACCCACCCTCCCGGGCCCCTGACCCCAAAGATAAGACCTGCCTGGGAGGACAGGTGCCAAGTGCTCACTGGCTCTTCCTAAGGTCAAGGATGCTTGAGGGTCCAGCAGGGACATACCTGCCTTGGCATTCGCCTGCTTCTTCTTCTGGCCCTTCTTCCTCCTGCTTCTCTGCTCAGGAACAGCTGCCGAAGAGGCCAGAGGGCTGCTGTTCTGTGGGGCTGCAGGGAAAGGGCAACCTGTGACCATGGGAGGGACACTCCTGGGCTCCTGCCTGTCACCTGCCTTAAGGAACTTGCAGATGACACCTAGCAGCATAAGGCAGGAATGGCCACTGTCCCCTTTACCTTTCTCTATAAAAGCAGGAGCTAGTTGTTCACCTTTTGTCAGCAGGCCAGGGTTGCACTCTGGGGCCTCATCCTGGGGGCCATTTGGCCTGGGTAACACCTCTGTGGAGACAGTTATCCTGTCGTTTGTCTCTCATAGCTACAAAAGCCAACAGGAAGTGACCACCTGGTTCTCCCTGACGCCCCCTTGCCATGCCCTTGCAGAGCCTGGCTCAGGCGAGTCAAGAGAAGCGAGTCAAGAGAATCCCCACCGGGCTGGGACCAAGGTGTCTGTCATTCATCCATCCAGAGATCAGGGGCAAAGGGGCTACTGGCCACACACACCTGCCTCCCCATCCATGACTGCTGCGCTTCTGACCCTTCCTGTGGTTCTTTTGGTTTGGAGCTCGGAGGCAGCTGGTGTGGACCTCACAGGAACCCTGTCTTCCCTTGGGACAGAAGCATGTAAGGGACCCCGTCTGATTCCAACCAGAATCTTCCTTCTGCTTGACCTGCTTCTTGGGAGACAATAATCATTTAAATTGCAGTAATGGTAGCTAACAATTATTGATTACTTGTTAAACTTTAGATGCTGATCTGTGCACTAAGAAATATCTCATTCCATCCTTATAAAGTGTGAGACAGCTGTTACAATTCACCTGATTTGTGGATGAAGGACCGTGACTCAATTTATCTGGGTTTGTCCCATGACCATGGCCAGAGCTCTTGGGATCTGCCATGAGCACTCACGTCTCAGCTGAAGGGAAGAGCGGCAGTGAGCGCCAGGCGTGTTCCCATAGGGTCAAGCTGGGCGACACACATACTTGTTTCCTTTGTCACCAGCTCTATGTACAAGTCCTTGGAAACAACTGCCACTTCACAGGCAATTGAGGCTGGCTCCAAACGATGCCAGAGTGGCCCCTGCCACTGTGCCGAGCTCCCGAGGCCCTCGAGGCTGCCATGGTGGCCAAGTTCCTCTGGGCCTCCTTCCTCCAGCTTCACTTGGCTCTCCTCCTGCCCACACTCCCTCCTGTTCTCTCTCCCTCCTGACTTGAGGCCTACTGTGTCCTGCTTCATCCCCTGCCATTCATCTGACGTTCAGAGCCATGCCCCCTTCTTCCCTGGGATGCCTCAGAGGAGCACAGCTCAGTGCGGGGACTGCCCAGAAGAGGAAGAGTGACACCCTCCCTGTGAGAGCAAGGTCACGCTCTCTCCAGACCAAGGCCCAGGGCTGAGTCCATGCTCACCAGACAGTGTGGAAAGAGCACTGGCCGTAGCCAAGCGTTCAGGATCCAGGGGCTTCCAAGATTCCGGAACCCTTGTCCTGACCACTGATGACCTCATGCATTCTACCAGGAGAAGCCCACAGACCTCCAGGGAATGGCATGTCCTGGTCTGGACACTGGGGTCACCTCCTGACATCCCAGCTCCACTTCCACTTAAGGCCTTGTCCTGTGTTCAAGTCCATTCATGGTTCCAGGTGAAAGGATACGTCCACACATCGGGGACTGAGACAGCCCCACATTGAGAGTGGACTGATCCCTCATCTGTAATAAAAAGTCGTTTTTTTATTGTGTTCAGCTATTATCATATTAAAATGAAAAAAGTTTAAACTTTTATATTGTCCTTGTCCTGAGATAAAGAGTCACAAGCAACAAAAATTCACAGAGATCCTGACTCTACTTCACCAAATTTTCCCTAATGGTAACAACTTGTAGACCCATAGTGGAATCTCACCACAGAAAATTGAGATTGGTACAATCCACCAACCTCATTCAGATTTCACCAGATTTAAATACAGTTGCTTATGATTATGTACTCAGTTCTGTGCAGTTTTACCTCCTGTGCACACTTGTGTGACCTCCATCAGGATCACAGTTCTATTATGAGGATCCTTCATGCTTCCCTTTTATAGCATTCCCTTCTCCCCAGTCCCTGGCAACCACCAATCTCTTATTCAACTCTATAATTTTGTTATCTCAAGAATATTATATAATTGGGGCTGAGGATTGGGGATATAGCTCAGTTGGTAGAGTGCCTGGGGTCAATCCCCAGCACCACACACATAAAAAATTGTGTATATAAAGTATATAACTGGAACCAGGCAGTATTTTCCATAAATCCTTCCAAGTTGCCTGAATCAACAGTCAATTCCTTTTTACAGCTAAGCAGCACTCCAGGGTGGTAACTACATGAGTTAGTCAACTTTCTGTTACTGTAACAAAATACCTGAGGCTATCAATTTAAAAAGAAGAAAGGCAGTTATGGGTGTGGCTAAGTGATAGAGCACTTGCCTAACTTGCCTAGCATGTATGAGGTCCTGGGTTCAATCCTCAGCGTCTAAATAAATAAATAAAAGGTTTAATTTTGGTTCACAGTTTTGAAGGTTTTAGTTTATGTTTTATTGGCCCTGTTGTTGGGGTGAGGCAGCATATCTTGGCAGGGAGCATATGGCACAGTAAGCTGCTTGGCCAGGAAGCAAAAAAAAAAAAGAGGAAAAGACCCTAATTCCTTTCAAGGACATGCTCCTAGTGACCCAAGACCTGCAATAGTTCTACCTCTTAAAAGTTCCACCACTTCCCAATAGCACCAGCACTGGGGACCAAACCTTTAACACAGGGGCCTTGGGAGGACCTTCCAGATCAAACCACGCCTGAGCACGTTTGGTTTTGTAAGAACCTGGCGTCTGTGTTCTAGAGCACCCTCCCATCTCACTTGCCCACCAGTCTCTGATGGGCAGTGCTTATGTGACCGCCATTTTAGCCACATATCCCTGTGGTTTGATCAGCATTTCCCTAAGTTAATGAGGTTGAGTACCTTTTCATGTGTTTTTTGTCATCTGTGTGTCATTTTGGTGAAGTGTCTGTTTATATCTTTTTAAATTGAAAAATTTTCCTCCTTTTGACTTTCGAGAGCTCTTTATATATTCTAGTTGCAAGTCCTCTGTCAGATATGTGGTTTACAAATATTTTCTGTTAGCCTTTATATTTTTTTCTCTTCCAAAGTCTTTCACAAAGCCAAATGTTTAAATTTTGTTAGCATTTAAATAATGTTTAAATTAAAAACAGCTTAGTTATCATTTTCTCCTTGTTTGGAATGGGTCTTTGGTATTAAGTCTAAGAACTTGTCACCAAGACTTAGGTTGATAGATTTATCCTATATTTTATTTTCTAAAAAATGTATAGTTTTAAATTTACACTTAAGTCTGTAATCAGCTTTGACTTGAATGTGTGAAGTTTGTGTGAGATGTGAGATGTGAAGTTTAGGTTGAGTTTCATTTTATTCGTTAATGGGACATTGCTCCACCATCGTTTATTAAAAGGGGTTTTTGCTTGGTTGGATTGCTTTTGTGCCTTTGTTGAATGTTGTGTTTCTATTTCTGGGTGGGTTCTGTATTATGTTCTGCTAACTATGTTCTGTGACTGCCCCTCTGCTAATACCACACTATCATGGTGTATTATGCTGAGTATAGAGTAGATCTGTTCCTCTCACTCTCTTCTTTTTCAAAATTGTTTAGGTTATTTAGGTCCTGAGCCTTTCTATATAAATTCAAAAATAAACATTTATGTCTATAACAATCTTTGCTTGGATTTTGACAGGAATTTCATTAAGTCTTTAGGTCAGTTTGGAAAGAACTGATGTCTTTACTGTGTGACATTCAACATAGTAAATGTTGAGTATCAACATCATATTCAGTCCGTAAATATGGTATGCCTCTCCATCTAGTTAGGCCTTCAGTTTCTTTTATCAGCATTCTGTAGTTTAGAACATAGAAGTCCTGTATGTTTTGTTTGATTTTACCTAAGATTTTCATTTTCTTTGGAGCAATTATAAATGGTATTATTGTTAAATTTCGGTTTCCACATTTTTACTGTTAACAGAAAACTGCTGTTGATTTTTGTGCTATAAACTTGCTGAATTTACTTTCTAGTTCTAGGAATTTTTGTACAGATTACTTGGAATTTAAAAAAAATATTTATTTTTCAGTTGTAGTTGGACATAATATCTTTATTTTATTTATTTATTTTTATGTGGTGCTGAGGATAGAACCCAAGTCAGTGCTGGGTGAGTGCACTACCACTGAGCCACAACCCCAGCCCAGATTACTTGGAATTTCAAATGTAGACAATAATATCATCTGCATATAGGGACAGCTTATTTTCTTCTTTTCTAATCACTGTGCCTTTTATTTTTCTCTTGCCTTATTGTGCTGGCTAGATTTTCCATTGCTATGTTCAATAATAGTTTAAAAAGTGAAAAAATTTTGGACTGTTCCTAGTCTACAGGTGATACTATCCAGTCTTTCACTATGAAGTCTGCTAACTGTAGGAATTTTGTAGAAGCTTTTTATAATGTAAAGGAAGTTCTCCTTTAGTCATGCTTTGTCTCTCCATCTGAGTGTTTTTATCATGAAATTAGTTTTTTTCAATTATTTTTTTCTGCATCAGTTGATGGGAACAAATGAGTTTTCTTCTTTAGCTTATTGATACTGTGAGTTGCAGGTATTGATTTTTAAATGTGGAACAAGACTTGCATTTCTGGAATAAATTCTTCTTGAGTCATGGTGTATAATTCTTTTTATATATTGCTGGATTTGATTTGTTAATATTTCATTGAGAACTGACGCATCCATTCTGGTCTAAAAATACTCTGTATGGTTAAATTTTTAAAAATTTGTTGAGTTAAAATAGTATCTGCAGCCAGGTTTGGTGATGCACACCTGTAATCCCAGAGGCTTAGAAGGCTTAGGCAGGAGGATGGCAAGTTCAAAGCCAGCCTCAGCAAAAGCAAGGCACTAAGCACCTCAGTGATACCTGTCTCTAAATAAAATACAAAAAGGGTTGGGAATGGGGTTCAGTGGTTAAGTATATCTGGGTTCAACCCCTAGAACCAAA